CTCGACAGCATCTTAAAAAGCAGAGACATCATCTTGCCAACAAAAGTCTGCATAGTCAAAGCTATGGTTTTTCCTGTAGTGATGTATGGAAGTTGAGAGCTGGACCATAAAGAAGGCTGACTGCCAAAGAATTGATGCTTTTGAATTGTGGTGCTGGAGGAGACTATTGAGATTCCCTTGGACTGCAAAGAGAACAAACCTATCCATTTTGAAGAAAATCAACCCTGAGTGCTCACTGGAAGGACAGATCCTGAAGCTGAGGCTCCAATAGTTTGGTCATTTCGTGAGAAGATTTGACTCCCTGGAAAAAAAAACCTGATGTTGGGAAAGATGAAGGCAAGACGAGAAGGGGACAACAGAGATGAGAAGATCCGACTCCCTGGAAAAAAAAACTGATGTTGGGAAAGAGTGAAGGCAAGAGGAGAAGGGGACGACAGAGGACGAGATTGTTGGACAGTGTCATCGAAGCAACCAACATGAACTTGACCCAACTCCGGGAGACAGTGGAAGACAGGAGGGCCTGGCTTGCTCTGGTCCATGGGGGTCATGAAGATTTGGGCACGACTATACTACTAAACAACAACAACAACACTCTTTTCATTTTGCAACAGTGGTTCCCAACCTTGGACCCCTAGATGGTCTTGAATTAAAACTCCTGAAAGATTTCACCACTAGCTGTGCTGGCCAGGATTTCTGAGAGTTGTAGGCCAAGAACATCTTGGGACCCAAAGTTGAGAACCATTGATCTACAGTATAAGAATAAATCATTCAAATATTTCATATATGAAGGCGGAAAGTTCACTTTTCTTGAAATGGGCTTTCTCCATACACAATAACTTTTCTCATAGCCTCTAACAATTCAGAGTTATACAGTACACCTCTGCAGTCATGTTGCTAGTCCCCATTGAAAAAGACAGGATTGGGTCCTGTTTATAGAAGATAACAGGGTGATCAGTTTGATCTTTCATTGCTATAGAAAGAACACAGCTATAACTGTTTAGAACAATCCACCACCTGGAAGGAAGTCAGGGTGAACAGACACCTGACTGTTATAGATCTAGTAGCTCAACTGAGATGCTGGGAACCAATTATTTGAAATTGTGCAAAATTGGTTTATCACTTTTATAGTCTCTTGTACTTTAAAAGAGATAATCCAGGATTGGGGAGGAGCAGGTAGATGTATTAGTATATGGCACAAAGAAGAGCCTTCTTATACTTTGCAAGCTAAGAAGTTACATTTCGCATAAAATTTGTCGACTACAATTCCTTTTCATCCAATGCAGGAGAAAACAATTGGATATATATTGGGGGTTGGGGGGAGTCAGAGTAACTAGTCAGATCAGCAGGAGCTGCAATGCAAGACAGTGGTATGGGATATCTCATGAAATCTTGCAAAACCTCCAAATTTAAGTATGAGGTTTGAATCTGAAACATGTTCAGTGGTTGCTCCCAAAGTTCATCTTGGATAGGATGTGGGGTAAGTCAGCCTTGGGGAATGCTCCTCTTCATTTCTCTGAGTGGTGCTCTCAATGTATATTTCAGAATCCTGCCCTGTTGGTATGATAGCCCCCTCTCCACCTCAGTCAGGCAGAGAAACAGACACACAGAAAGATATCACTTTTTTGGCTTCTTATAATGATGAGTCCTTGGGAGGGGCACCATTGGGGATCCCTTCCCTATGG